CTTGAAAGTGGTGCAAGATTTCCTCCATCCACAGTCTCCAGAAATAGGCACAGCCTCTAGCAACAAGGTCACAGGCGGTGCAAGATTTCCTCCATCCACCGACTCAACTGAGGAGGTTTTTCGAGAGCTGAGACAACTGCAGAGCCACTGAAGTGAGTCGCACCTTGCTGTTGTCAGCTATAACTGTACTTCGCGACTTGCGCCTGTCATGCTTGCGGAGGGGCCACGCAAGTCGATTTGTGCGTGTCATGCTGGCGGAGGCCATGCAAATCTTCTCCGTGTCAGGTGTATCGCGTGAATCCGACTCTAAGCCCTCAAACGAATGTCACGCTTCTGGTAGCGTTGACTGTGTTTTCACAGTCAACGTTCAGTCAACGTTCAGTCAACGTTGCAGTCAACGTTACAGTCAACGTTGCCGACATGCTACGCCTGCCAGCAATTCCATGGCTTCCAAGCTTAAAAGCCTAAAAAATCTAGTTTTTTTGGGTTTTATAGTGAAATTCACGGATTTGCTGGCCCTGCCAGCATTTCCGCAACGTTGACTGTAACGTTGACTGTAACGTTGACTGAACGTTGACTGAACGTTGACTGTGAGAATGCAGTCAACGCTACACATGTAGTGCGATTGCTTTGACTCAGATCTCCCTTGCGGGTCACGTGATACCTGAGTGCCCAGCATTTTTGCTGACCTTGTCATCCTCAAACGCTTAATGCGGATCTGCAGATGCCGCATTGTCGACGCACCGTCACGCAGCCCAACTAAATGAACCTTGCCACTCTTGCTCACACACCAACAAGCACAGCACCGAAGCATCTCTACTCATCACAGAACTCGACCCCGATGTGTCGCCACTAGAAGTACTTTGAAGCACGAGGCAAGCACATGTTGGCAGGCAACGTGCAATCTGAAGCCCCTGTTAAAGCCCATGCTGGGGACTGTGGATGGAGGAAATCTTGCACCACTTTTGCAAGGCCGGCCTGTGGCAAGGGCTTTTGTTCAGTCGGTGGATGGAGGAAATCTTGCACCGCCGACTTGATCTACTCCAAAACGGGTCTGACGCCAACCCCGCGCCCCCTTTTTAACATTGGTGCTTGTCACGATGGAAGCGGTGCAAGATTTATGTCATTGGGCCTAATCTTGAAAATCTGCTTTTCACCGCAATGTTAAAAGGGGGGCGAGGGGAGAGAATGTTATGCACCCTTGAAAGTGGTGCAAGATTTCCTCCATCCACAGTCTCCAGAAATAGGCACAGCCTCTAGCAACAAGGTCACAGGCGGTGCAAGATTTCCTCCATCCACCGTTTCGTCTCCAAGCAAGCTGTCAAAGTCCTGATATAAATACGTTGACCACTTTGCCTTACGGGATCACAGGAGAGACTTCTTGGGGTTAAGCTCCTTCGCAACCCCCACTTCCGTAAGTTTCTGCAGGCTGCGCGGCAGACGTAAGAAAAAAACCCTAAACCCCAAACCCTAAACCCTAAACCCTAAACCTCAACCCTAAACCCTAAACCCCCAAACCCAAAACCCTAAACCCTAAACCTCAGTAAACGTCCTTGAACCTGGCAGGGCGCGAAGGGCTTGGTCAAGAACGCCGGGCTCCCGGCAAGCTACGCACGAACGGCCCGAAATCCGAAACCCTGCTGTAAGCCCGTTTAGGATTTAGGGTTCAGGGTTTAGGGGCTGGGGTGCCTGAACCCTATGAACCCCAAACCTCCCAAGAAGCCCTAATCCAGACCCTAAACCTCCCTAGAAGCCCTGGAATCCCGAAACCCTGCAAGCCCAGAACCACCCCATAAGCCCTGTAAGCCCTAAGCCCTAAACCCTATACCGAAAGTAGGGACCCTGCATCTTATTCTCCTACAAATCCCTTACATATACCTGATATGGCCCCTAATATACCTAAGTAGCCCCTAAACGAACCTTAAACAACTCCTTAAGGTCCCTTTATAAGGGTCCCTCCTTTGGTCCCTCGATGAGAAGGCAGCTTGGACACCCAAAAGGGTTTAGGGTTTAGGGTTTAGGGTTTAGGGTTTAGGGTTAGGGTTTAGGTTTGGGGTTTAGGGTTTAGGGTGTAGGATTTCCTTGTAGCAGGGACCCCAATCAGGTACCCCCTAATCTCGGAAGCCCGCACATGGGGGGGTTTCCGAAATTAGGGGTACCTTATTGGGGTCCTCATTATACGGGGACCCTAGCATTTGGGGACGATGTCAGCTGACCCCCAGAAAGTATCAAGAGGGCTCGAGGCTGAGGATTCCTGATTCCAGGTTTTAGGTTTTTTTCGGTTGTAGGCTTCTAGGCCGTCAGACCCAAGAAGGCCACCCTAGCCCCTAAACCCTAAGCCCAACAGCCCTTGCCGTGCAAGGTTACTTTCAGCATGTTCAAGACACTGAAAGTCGTGACAGGCCAGCCCGGTGGGCAGGGTCCGCCTGGGCTTGTAGGGTTTTGAGCCCTGTTGGGGCCTTCGGTTCTCAACTATATCCTAACCCCGCAAAACCCTAAACCCTAAACCCCAAGCCCCAAACCCCAAGCCCTAAACCCTAAACCCTAAACCCTAAACCCTAAACCCTAAACCCTAAACCCTAAACCCTAAACCCTAAACCCTAAACCCTAAACCCTAAACCCTAAACCCTAAACCCTAAACCCTAAACCCTAAACCCTGAACCCTAACCCTAAACCCCAAACCCTAAACCCTAAACCCTAAACCTAACCCTAACATCCTGGGTTGTAGCCTTGCCAGTACAGCTGGCCTCGCTGTAGCATTCAGGATTCAGGGGCGAGCTAACAGCTGTTACTCACTCAATGCTACAAGCCCAAAACGCGCTAAATCCCTAAACCCCTATACCTTAAGACCCACAACCGCAGCTCATGAAATCCCTAAGTCCCAAGACCCCAGCCCCGAAATCCGTAAACCTCACAGCCAAAACCCCAGATCCGACAAGCCCAGATGCCCTAAACCGTAGACATTTCTCAGTGTTCGGGAACTGCTTGCAGTTTAGCGGCCCCAAGCAATAAGCCCTATAAGCCCTACAAGCCCTAAACCCTAAACCCGGAGAAGGTTCGTGTTTCAGACCCAAGGAGACCGTACCCCCTAAGCACATGTTTGCAGGTCGACGTGAGCATGGCCCTTCCTAGAAGTCCCCACTTGGAGGTTCATGGTACTTATTAACCAACTATAACTGGACTAAATCTGTACTTATAACCATATTAGGGCACGTAAGGGGCTTATCAGTGGGTTATAAGTACAGTCATAATGGGCGAATAAGTACCCCTAAACCCTAAACCCTAAACCCTAAACCCTAAACCCTAAACCCTAAACCCTAAACCCTAAACCCTAAACCCCTTTAAGTACCATGAACCTGCAAGCAGCATCTGTGAATGCCCCCTGGGCCAGGGATCCTGATCGATCAGACCTACTGCCCTCCTTCGCAGAGGCATCCTGAACCCTAAACTCCCCCAAATCCCCCTAAACCCTAAACCCTAAACCCTAAACCCTAAACCCTAAACCCTAAACCCTAAACCCTAAACCCTAAACCCTAAACCCTAAACTCCCCCAAACCCCCTACCCCAAAGCCCCACTCCCCCCCCCCCCCCCCCCCCTGGCCAAAACAAAACTCAAGAAGCGCAAAGCTAACATAAACAAAGAAGCCCCCAACATCGTAAGATCCTAACCCCTAAAACCCTAAAACCCTAAACCCCCAAACCATGAAAACCCTAAGCCTCCATTCCACGGGCCGGGGGAGCGGGGAGTTTCTGGTGGCAGGGCATTGGGGGTGCAAGGCTTAGGGTGTAAGAGTTCGGGTTAAGGGTTTCAGGACCCTAAACCCTAAACCCTGAACCCTAAACCCTACACCCTACACCCTACACCCTAAACCCTAAACCCTACACCCTAAACCCTAAACCCTAAACCCGAAACCTTAAACCTTGAGGTTCAGGGTGGAGCCAAGCAAGGCCAAGAGCCCTAGAACGGCAAACCTCAACCCCTGCGAGAATCCTGGGCGATTCCACAGCACGGGACGAACCTCAAGTCCTGAGCAGGATTTAGGGTTTGGGGTTTAGGGTTTAGGGTTTCCCCCTTTTTTCGGTTCAATGGTTCCCTGAAAAAGAAAAAGTGCCCCCCCCCCCCAACCGCACACAAAGGGTGCCCTTAGTAGTTACTGGGCTACCGAGGTTGAGGGTAACCCGTAACCCTAAACCCTAAACCCTAAACCCTAAACCCTTTTTTCGGGTAGTTTATAACAACTCCGAGGTGAGCAATACCTCCCGGCATCGCTCGGCGTCGCTCGGAAGAAGCCCTCAATCCTAAACCCCAAACCCTAAACCCCAAACCCTAAACCCTAAACCCCAAACCCTAAACCCCAAACCCTAAACCCCAAACCCTAAACCCTAAACCCCAAACCCCAAACCCTAAACCCCTAAACCCCTAAACCCCTAAACCCTAAACCCTCAACCCACGAAAGCCAGCGCTCTGCCTGGCAGGCCGGAAGGATGTTCGGGGGGACCCTCAGATGCGATCCTCATTGAGGCCAGGTGAATTGGGTCTAGACTCTCATATTTGGGTTTAGGGTTTAGGGTTTAGGGTTTAGGGTTTAGGGTTTAGGGTTTGGGGTTTGGGGTTTGGGGTTTGGGGTTTGGGGTTTGGGGTTTGGGGTTTGGTGTTTGGGGTTTGGGGTTTGGGGTTTGGGGTTTGGGGTTTGGGGTTTGGGGCTTTTCAGGTTTAGGGTTTAGGGTTTAGGGTTTTGGGTTTAGGGTTTAGGGTTTAGGACCGCGTTGAGGCCAAGCTCTGGTGAAGGAAGTCATGATGGGTTTTGAGAGATGGGCATTTCTCAACATAGGGGGTACCTCCGTTTCTACCCCAAATAGAATAAAATCCGCTGAAAAGAGAGCCCCAAAATGGGTCCCTAAACCCTAAACCCTGAACCCTAAACCCTAAACCCTAAACCCTAAACCCTAAACGGGATTCTGAAGCTTAGAAGGGGGTGGAGGCAGCCCAGGCATCACGCATGCATTTGCGGAAGCTCTTCGTCTTGGAACCCCGGCTCTCTGACAGTATACCCGATCATCCTTTAGAACAGAATGTGCCAGGGTTGCACCACAAGCCCCCACCCCAAGTCCTGAAACCCCAAGCCCGAAACCCTAAACCCTAAACCCTAAATCCTAAACCCTAAACCCTAAACCCTAAACCTTAAACCCCAAGTCCTGAAACCCTAAACCCTAAACCCTAAACCCTAATTCCAACCTTTCCAGAGCGGCGAACATGTTGCGCGTAGTGATGATGGCAACCGGGGAGGAAGTGCTGGCTCTGTCACCGGAGGAGTTTGAGAGCTTGGCGACCCAGCGTGGTAGCCGGTCTGCTCGGGCCTTGAAGGAGCACCTCACGTCGCTGACGGGGCAGACGCGATTTCGTCAGCGGCTGCTTCAGAGAGGGAGTATCATTGATGATGAGAGACAGCTCGAGTCTTTGTCATAGTGGGGTATCATTTCACATGTTTAAGTGTACTTTAAACCCAATAAGGAATGGAAAGTTGAGTTTTTAATACTATCCCTACCTTGAGCTAGGAGTTGCCATTGGTTCTCGACCTGGTTCTGCTGTCATTGTCGCAACCTGGTGCACAGTGCTTGATGGCCCTCCACTCAGCAGTTGTCTCAGACAATGCTCAGACTCTTGGTCGCCGAGTGAGCACACTTTACACTTTTTTGGGATACTCTAACCCCCTGTAGATTTGAAAGCTTACACTTTCTTGGGATACTCTAATCCCCTGTAGAACTGCAAGTTTACACTTTTCTGGGGGCTTTATGAACTTAGCAACGAAGGACTGTCGAGGAGTTCCTCCAACGACCTCTGGACCCCAATGTGCAACTTGGTGGGCACCAGTAGTACCCTTTACCCCTTTTTTGGGGGTTTCTGGGTTCCTTATAAAGTTACCAACCCCAAAGAAGGGTACCCTTATTGTAAGAACTAGTAAGAACCCTAAACCCTGCACCCTAAACCCTAAGTCCGAAACCCTAAACCCTAAACCCATGGTTACCGAAACTACGAAGGCAAGGATACCGAAACATCCGATGCCTCAGCTGGGCCGCTGCTGCTGACAGCCTGAGATCGGCGAAGTTGCTTGCCGAAGCACGCGCTGATGCTAGGCTGTCCAACAGGGTGGGGCCCCCTTACTATACTAACTGTAGCTAAGGGACTTATAACCTAACTTAGGGTCCTTATAACCCAATTTAGGGCCCTTATAACTCTACTTATAACTAGGGGGCCCCACCCTGAATGGTACACCATTTCTAGGGTTAAAGGTTTGGGGTTTAGGGTTCAGGGTATTATTCACTTCTGGCCCCTTTATAAATTATGCTATAATAACCGCCCCCCCCCCCCCCCCCCCCCCCCTCCCCCAAAAAAAAAAAACTTGAAATTGTTCAGGCTCCTACATTACACAATTTCTCTTTTGCATTCCTTTCTGGCTTCTAGGGTTCCTGCATATTTACACTGCAGTGTTAGCCCAAGAGAACATCCACATGTATCCTCGGTTTTTTGCAAGGGTTCCCTAAACCCTAAACCCTAAACTTACTAAACCCTAAACCCTAAACCCTAAACCCAAATTCAGCCAAGGACGTCTGTCTCCCTGATTCCCCTTCAGGAAGGACGCCGCTACATTGGGCCTGCGTTCCTTGGGGGCTGAAATGACCCTACTTGGAGGTTCATTATGGTACTTATTGGCCAGTTATAACTGTACTTATCACTGTACTTAGAACCATATTAGGGCACGTATATAAGGGCTTATAAGTGGGTTATAAGTACAGTTAAAAATTGGTGAATACGTACCATGAACCTCCAAGTAAAGCCTTTGAGCCCTATGTGTCCTGAAGGCCTTACGAGCCCTGCAAGCCGCATAGACCCAGAAGCCCCACAGGCCAACTAAAGCCCTAAACCCTGAACCCTAAACCGTAATAGACCCTAGGCCCTAAACCCCAAGGCCATGTGTCTGTTTGCTCCCCAAGGTGTGTGGCAGTGTGAACATGACACGCTGGCTGATTGAGTGCGGTGTTGACATAACCCAGACGTCGAGCGTCGGCCAATCCGTCCCTTGGGCAAGGAACCCCCACGGGTTTAGGTTTTTTTGGTTTAGGGTTTTTTGGGTTTAGGGATTTTTGGGGTTTAGGGGTTTAGGGTTTAGGGTTTAGGGAGTAGGGTTTAGGGTTTAGGGTTTAGGGTTTAGGGTTTAGGGTTTAGGGTTTAGGGTTTAGGGTTTAGGGTTTAGGGTACCCGAAACCCTAGACCCTAAGCCTTAAGCCTATATAGCTCATGGCTTACAGTATGGTAGTGGTGTAGGGTTTGGGGTTTAGGGCTAGCAGGGTCCCTTCTAGGTGGTCCTGCCCTTGGAACTCGCCAGTGCCGGAGGGAATGCTGAAATCGTTCGGATGCTGCTTGACGCCCGCGCATCGGTCAATGTGGGAGCAGACGCCCGAGTGACACCTTTGCTTCTTTTCTCAGAAATTCTTGGGGTTTAGGGTTGGGAAGTTTAGAGCTTGGGGTTTGTAGGGTTTAGTTATTCTGCTTGTTATTACCGTGATTATTTTCTTACCTGATGATTGCAAGGAATGGGGGCCATCTGTTTTGTGAAGGGGGATTGCTTTAGTGAACCGCACTCCCCGTCAGGTTCTCTGCCTGCAGCGAGGGTCACGTCGAAACGGTGCGCTTGCTGGTCGAATTCCGGGCCGACATTAACGTTCCTGCTGCGAATGGATACACTCTGCTTCATGAGGCGTGCCTCGGCTTGATCTGAATGCACATGGGGAGGTGGATCTACATTATGGGTCGTATTTTTGGGGAGCCTAAACTCTCAGGACGATGTCTTCTTAGAATAGAGACCACAAATGATGTCAGGGGGCAGGGGGGGGGGGTGGTGGAAGGGTGCAGGAGCCGATTCTGTGTAGAAGCGGCCCTAAACCCTACACACTAAACCCTAAGCACAGGCGTGCTGAAACCGCCCATCCCTTTATTGCCCTTGCAGAGTTAGATCCGGAGGACGTTGTGTTACCCTAAGCCCGAAACCCGAAACCCTAAACCTTGCAAGATTCTTCGCATGTTTTGAAACCCCTAAGCCCCTAAGCCCCTATTGTAGTGGTCGGAAGAATATACTAGTAGTATTCCCTTATGGCCCCTTTCATAATTTCAATATAAAAACCCGCAAAACCCTATTAAAATCATTAAGGCCCTGATATTAAACCCTATACAACCCCTAAACCCCAAGCCCCACAACCCTCTCCGACCCACGAGCCAAGGTGTTCAAAAGGGCGCTGTGACGTTGCGCGCTTCTTGATCCAGGCTGGCGCGGACAAGGATGCAACCAGCTCCGATCCTTGGGACTAGCTGGGGCTCCATTTGCCTACTTGTTTAGGGGCTTATACCCTATTTTTTTTTTTGGAGGGGGGCGGGTTATATCCGACCTATGCATAGGGTTTGGTAGTCACAGGAAAAAGAACCTTTTTTTGGGCTGAGGGTTTGGGGTGTTGAGATTTTGGGGACTACATGAACCTTAGAAGGTTTTTGGGTCCATCTGCCCCACCCTAAAGAGGCGTTGTAGTATCATGAGAGGTTTGTTTGATCCCAATGTTTGGGGTTCCTTTGGCCGTCCAACCCTAAACCCTAATCCCTAAACCCTAAGCCCTAAGCCTTAAGCCCTAAACCCTAAACCCTAACCTAAACCCTAAACCCAAACCCTTAAACCTTAAGCCCAGGATGGTCCTCCGTTGCACATGGCCATTGCCCTTGGCAACATCGGAGCTGTGCGCGTCTTGCTGGAGGCTCGGGCAAACATGGAGGCCGTCCCACCGCTTGGCACGTCCGCACTGGTTGCGGCCTGTGCCTTGGCTTTCTTCTGGCTGGCTCTTAGGACTTGGGGTTTAGAGTTTAGGGTTTAGGGTTTAGGGTTTAGGGTTTGTTGTTGAAGAAACTACAACAAGGAGCCGAGAAGTTAAAACTTGTCGGAGGGGCTCAGGAGTCAGCCAAGGTGCATCCGGGCAACTGCAGGCGACCGAGCTGCTCATCCAACACCGAGCACAGCTCGACTTCGCAGATGACCGAGGTCTCGTCCCCTTGCATGTGGCTTGCTTTCTGGGCCACCTGGAAATCGTTCGGGCCTTTGTCCACAGCAGGGCAAACCTGAACCTTGTGACAGGGGACGGCTTCTCCGCACTGGATGCCGCCCGCACGCGTGATCATCAAGACGTCGTCGCTTTGCTCACCGAGGCGGGCCAGGCGACCATGACCGACCGACAGCCCAAGCGAAGGCGCCGCATGAAGGGGCCGCCCTAATTCGCGAACACCTTCGGCAGCTAAGTGTGCGGAGGTAATAAAAATTGCTCGACGAGGTTGCAAGGTTTTGGGGCATCCGGTCTTCGAGTTAAGGGCTCGGGATTCCGGGATTCCGGGGCTTCTAGGGGCGCAAGAAGGCGCACTCGGCTGATTGGGTTCAGGTTTTGGTTCTTGGGGCTTGTAGGGCTTGCCAGGTGTACGGTTTACAACCCCAAACCTAAAAGCTGAGGTGCGCAAGTTGTGAGGGCTTGGGGGGGACATGTTGTCCGCTCCCGAACATGATGTTCCCATCAGGGTTCCCCTCGCATATAGGTGGCCGTATCATCGCACGCTCAAGCCTACACTGGCCTGAACCCCATATAAGCCCTCAACCCTAAACAACCTTGCAGCAGGCACCGTCAGTTTAGGGAGTGCACTGTCTGGGGGTTTACGAAAATCGGGGACCCCGAGCATACACCCCCCCAAATAGTAGGATTGCCTTAGAATAAGGCCCCCAATACGGCACCCCTGATTTCGGAAACCGCGATTTAATTTTATAAAGCAGCAACCAACACCACTCATAACCCCAAGCCCTAACCCTAAACCCTAAAACCTAAACCCCAAACCCTACACCCTAAGCCCTAAACCCTAAACCCTAGACCCCAAACCCTAAACCCTAAACCCTAAACCCTAAACCCTAAACCACTCTTTCATATATAATATAAATGTTAATGACTTTGCGGGCAAGGTCCTATATTTAGCGGGCAAGGTCCTATATTTAGCGGGCAAGGTCATATATTTAGCGGGCAAGGTCATATATTTAGCGGGCAAGGTCATATATTTAGTGGGCAAGGTCCATTGGCTAAAAAAAGACCTTGCCCACTAAATATATGACCTTGCCCGCTAAAGGGCGACCTTGCCCACTAAATATATGACCTTGCCCGCTAAATATATGACCTTGCCCGCTAAATATAGGACCTTGCCCGCTAAATATATGACCTTGCCCGCTAAATATATGGCCCGGGCCAGGTCATATATTTAGCGGGCAAGGTCATATATTTAGCGGGCAAGGTCCTATATTTAGCGGGCAAGGTCCTATATTTAGCGGGCAAGGTCCTATATTTAGCGGGCAAGGTCCTATATTTAGCGGGCAAGGTCATATATTTAGCGGGCAAGGTCATATATTTAGCGGGCAAGGTCATATATTTAGCGGGCAAGGTCATATATTTAGTGGGCAAGGTCCCCCCCCCC